TGCGGGAAGGATCGAATAATCGATACAATCTTAAATCTAAACCATGATGGAAACTTACTTCGATGGGATACTTGTCGGGCACGTGGGTAGAGGAGACGGTGGCCGCAGTCAGCATTGTCAAAGCTAGAATCGATCTGAAACAGAGATTGCAAAGATGCCTTAATTAATCCGACGTAATGGAATGTAATTTGTTATCGTCGTTGTCGATCTACGAAGCGGTTTTCACGAGCGTCCGTCGACTGTTGAACCGAGCCAATTATCCCCCTTATCGCACAAAATATCTATCTTTCAGCTGGTTTCATCGGGTTAGACATTTCAAGAATGTGATAATCTTCCTCGGATGAGTAACGTTGCATACTACGACCATGTAAAATGCTCCTGACCTAGGGGACCGGATAACTTCTCCTGCTTCCACATCGAAGTGCCTAGTTAATGTATTCTTCCCCTCTACCCCCTCCCTCCCCTCTCTCCCCGTAAATTATTTACCGGTGAAAAAATTCTCTGACAAGGATTAATGCGATCAATACGGATAGATCGTGTTTAGATTGAATAACGTATGGCCGAACCACCCCGCGTCTTCCTTCCGAATCGAACCTCGAAACGATTAATTGAATACATTCCATGATTTATCCCCCATCGCGATTCCGAATTAATAACGCACGACACGATAATTTAATTTTGCGCAGATGCTTCACAAGTATATTTAGAAACGCGATCAAGGATCGTGAGATTACCAGGAATCTCATCGTATTGAAATGCGAAGAAAATTAAATCGCTCTAAAAAAAAAAGAAAAAAAATAGCGATGAGATTCACTCTCTCCTTCTTTCGAAGTATCTTACGGCATTTTTAAAACGATTTCACGGGAAAGGAATAACCGAGCATGTGTTCTCGATCATCCAGTTCGCGCAGCGGATAATCGCCGCCATAGATTTCAAAAGTTCTCCATTTTCACGCCGCGAATAGCGTTCCAACGCGTCTAAGATGGAAGAACGTACAACACCAGTATCGCGGCAACAGGCGCCAATTCGTTTTGCCATGCCATAATTATTAAAACTGCGGCGGGGATGTATCGCCGATCGGGTAGTCGGAAAGATGCGAGGAAGAGGAGAGAGAGAAAGAAAGAGTTAGGAGTAAGGGAGGTGCAATGACGTTGGAACAAGTAAACTGTGCCACTAAGCGCTAATAACGTTTCACTTGTTGCGTTTTCTTGGAAAGCTTAATTAATCATTACGCCCTTATGCGGCGGAAAGAGAAAGAGAAAGAGAAGAGAAAGAGGAGAGAGGGGCTAGGAGAGGCGGACCGCCCGCAGCCACTGAAGTAGTCGCTTGCTCGCGTGCGTGAAACGCACACAGCAAACACGTGTAAACGCGTATTATTGCGACGAAATCAGAAAAAGCCGCATCTCCTCTTGCCTTTCCACGCGATCTTCTCGCGAATCGCGAATAAAGCTGCGTACATACCACCACCCCGTGTAAAGTGGAATGAAATTAATAGCGCTCTGACACACGAGGCGAGGTTGGGTTTAAGTACTATTTTAAAGATACGGTAAGAGAAGTAGTTGGCGTGTCAGGTGCTTCATCGATCATCTATGTTGAACATCTATTGCTCGTCTCGAGCATGTTGCTCGAAGCGAAAAATCTCGAGAAAAATTTTCTTCTACATCTAGAGAAGAGGATGATCATGTTGCAACTACTTTCGAATTATTTTCTTTCGAGATTTCCCGAACAATATTTCCAGTAATTCGTATCGTCACAACTTCTCGTAAATCATTTTTATTTCCTTCAATTAATTATTCTTTATTCCAATTTCGAGAATTTCGAATCGCTCGAGAATTATTGGATACTTTCGAGATCCCAATTTATTCCCAAATTTAACATTTCAATAATAATGTTGAGAAAAATAAGGTAAATGAAATCAAAGGAGCAGGAAGGAAGACTACAATCGCAGACAATGAGCGAGGAACAACGTAGAAAAAGAGGATTGCGAGAATACGAGAACGTGATTTGCACTAATGAAACGGTTATCCCATTGATTTACAATTACTACTCGCGCAGCTTTATTGTCCCTCCATTACGACAATCAATTACCTCATAAACAAACATCTATCGTGCTCCCTTCGTTAGACACGATTACCGTGAATTACAACGAAGCAGTTTGTTATTCAGCGACGACGCACAGCTAGCCCGCGTGTCTCGGTATGCACAGCGCTTAAGAAAGGGACGTTCACGGTGCACGCAAGCGGCGCGATGAAGCATTGCACTTGGCTGCAACTGCTCTAGCTATCCGCTCGAGAGCAATCGTGTCCAACCGCGACGACGAACACGTGTTCCTCGCTTCTTCTTTGTAACGCTAAACGGATCGCGAGATTTGCCGTAAAATCGTTCGTTCGTTCGTTCTGATTCCAGCTACCCCTTTTGCCTCTTTCTTTGTCCTAACGAACAATTATAATAATCGTTTTCCAATGTTTTTGAAATTACTTCGAGAGGCGAGAATATCTTCGATCGTTGTCGTTTCCTTTTGCATCTTGAAAAATAATCGACGAAAATATATATACTTGTTGGAAGAGTTGTTGTTCAAACTTGCAGTTATCTACATCTTCACGCTTCAGGAAGGAACGAAGATCGTACAGAGACGAATAGCGAGGGCAATTTGTTCTGTTATCCCGGCGACAAAAGGTTTGGCTATATCTGTCGTTGTTCGTGGAAATCGTTGAGAAATCTTTGACTCGACAAGGACTGGTGGCTGCTGCTCATCTATCGCGCTCGTCTTTGAACCGAGGATTCTAATACTCGTCACTAGCACGCCAAGATACGCGAGTCCACTTCTTATTCGATCGGTTTTTAGCGTAATTCTTACGCCATTGAAAACAAGACCGACATTATTTATCGCGGCATATGATGCACCAACCGCCACGATAGCAAAGTCGTAACGCCTCGAAGATGCGACCCTCGGCTACAAGATCTCCCGGCTATAAAGTTTGATACGTTTGTGCAAAAAAGGGAAACAAGAGTCTCGATTGCGTGCGAGCGTGCGAAACGCACGGTCTGGTTTCCCTGGTCTCGGTGGATCTCGCTTTTGTCGAGAGATCTCGCGGGAACGTGATAACTTACTCGATATTTCCCGGGATTTCACGAGTCCACGCCACTTGTCGGGCAAAATTAATTCTAGCCGGTGCAACGATCCGATAATGATTCCCGCGAGACAACGATTGCGCCCGATTAACTCTCCTCCCGGAGATATTTCATCGAGTTAGGGTCAGTGAACATGCGCGGAACGATGGGATAACGAATACCAGATTCGACGTGACAAGTACGTGCAACGATCAACGATGGATAAGAAAAAAACCCGAAGTCGATATAAATTTCCAACAATACTCTTTCATTTAAAAAAAAAAAAAGAAAAAAAAAAGCGAAAGATCGATGAATCTCTTGATCGAGAAACTCTGTCTAGCGATTCTGTGAGGATGATCGAACGATACATTGGAGAAACGAATAAAAATGTTGGCAATAACGATTAATCGAAATAACAATTAAATCCCTGGCTCGATCGGCGAGTAACTTTCCAATTCTCGGCGGAATTCATCCGATAAATCGCGGCGTTTCTGCGGGCAAAAAAAAGGGGATAAGAATAACTGGCCGGCCGGCGTCGCGGGAGGCCGGCGAAATCATTTTAACCACGGTGGTCCGATGCAAGGGGATTTTCGTCTCGTGCAAGGGGGGGCCAGAGCCGATACGTACGCGCCGGACACAAAAAGGAATGGCCGTGAAATATGATGCACGATACACGTACGCGGCATTGTCTCGGTAAGCTGTTGAGCATCTCCGGCGTTAACCAAGGGAAAGGAGCAAGAAGTCGCCCTCGGACAATGGGGGCGTGAGTTTCGAATACCTCCTCTAATGATACCGGAGCACCTCCGATCGAAGCGTATAAATGCCAACGTTCCTGTTTACGCGTATATTATCACGTATATTTTAACCTCTCTTTCTTTTCGTCTTTTCTTCTTTCCCGCTTTCTCCCCTTCTTTCGTCCCGTTTTTTATTGGAAAGGATACAATGGTTCACGGAAGGATCAGGGAATTTGCCTCGCAAAGAGAGTATAAAGGTTTTCGCAACGCAATCGGTATTCTCTCTCTGTTGAAACTGGTTGAAACTTCCGGATAGACGAAGCGTCTGTTGTTCAAACATTTCGTTTCTTCTCTCATCGTTTCAACCAAGGATCGTGGCGTCGTAGAATGCTGACAAAACAAATTATATTGCAAAAACTGTTGAAGTAATATTGTACAAGGCTTGTTTCTTGTTTCGATAATGGAAGATTTAGCTCAAATTAGAAAATTATTTATTGCAGGTGAAAATAATTCATAGCTAAGTGTAGAAAATTTCATTATACAGTTACTGGTGAAACATTATCGTTGACGCGTTTTGCTTTGTCAGTCGAGAACAGAGAAGTATTTTGCGATGTTGTTGCACTATAAACTGTCACCGTCTAACCAAGCTGCTGTCGTGCTGCGGTTGCTGTTGTTGTCGCCATAAACATTTTCCCTCGTCTCTTCCATTTCTTCCTCTGCACTCCTCTCAGGATCTCTTCCTTGTGGCGCGCTTCCACCTTTCTACACATCCTCCTCTTGTCGTCTAACCCCGCTCTCGCATTTTTTCCTCTTCTTCTTCGCCTTTCCTCGCGAGTTTCTTCACCATCCAACCTCGTCCGTTGTAAGACCGTTCGTCTATCTCTCGCCTCGTTACTTACTCGAGAACAGCACCACGGGCGCCTTCCGCATACTGAATACACGCGAGTGGGTGGTTGGCAAAATCCACGAAACTCTACTTTGAGGAAAATTAATGCGAATGAGGCGAAGTGAGCACGCAAGTGAATCACGATAAATATATATCGTCGACGATATTGGATAAGAAAAATTTATGACAAAATTTTCATAACATTTTCGCCTATGTATAATTAAAGATATTATAATTTTCTCGCATGGATCGTGAGAATTAGGCTAGATAGGAAATTTATATGAATGATAAAATCGTTTTCCTTGAAATTCTTCATTTTCTTGTTCCAATAGAACATTCCAACTGATGAAGAAATTAAAAAAATAGACGAAGATCGTTTCCATTTGACGTAAAAACGTATGTT